GTTACTCAAGAACGCCTCGGGGAATTATGGGAAGACAATACCGATACTCGAGTCCGAAGATCATGATCAAATACGGAAAGCGCCATTCGGCAAGCCTCTCTTCCCTTACCGATGGCCATGAAAAGCCCAATGATCTAGTGGTTTCCGCGTGTCCAGGACCATAAGAGCACGTGGATGAGGAAAGGTTTAATGAAATTGTCTGGAAGGAAACGTAGGAGTTTGTATTGCGCGTCAATGATCATGGTTTTGTGCTGTTGGCCGAATTTTGATTGAGTCCGTATGAGGAGAAAATATTATTTCCCCAAGTCTTAGTCACGGCGATACACCTACCCAAGCAACTACAGAATCTCTTAGACGCTCGATTTTGTTAGCATATATGCGAAACAATGACGGCCTGCTTGTGACTGCCTATAAAAGAGATTCATGGTGGGAAGGTTTGGTTTCGCCTTCAACGAGTTGTAGATCGCCTAACTGATACCTTCCGTCCAGTTGTGCCGTCACAGAGATGCTGACTCAGCTGCACAGCCACAGAACTGGCACATAAGCTAGAGGGACATAGCTTGTCCAGCCACATGACTTCGAGCACCTTAACTCCCGAGGGCTCCACCCTGCGCCTCGGCTCACCATGGATTTCCACTGGCGGTTGATCGGACGTTTGGGGCGGTTGATGTCACACCCGTTTAAGCTTGACCAGTTACTGACGGACAATCAGGCTGTTCACAACCACCTCACGATATTTCACATTTCAGCATCGCTTCCCCATACCTTCGCGATACCAAACCATAGATTTTCATTGCAATCCTTACCATGCGATAGAAGCACACACCTTCCCACTTCTGCGAACCTTGTTGCGCCGTGGGCTCAAGAGCTCCCGCACACGATATACCCTCACTCTCCTCCGCACCTCCCACCCCCGAACCTCAACAAACCGACCACCTCTACCTTGAGCACCGTCGCGCCAGTTACCCAGCATGACCGACACGATACCTTCGCTTCAGACCGGGCTTCAAGATGGCGAGCGCCGCTGCTTCATCTGCCTCATGGACGAAAACGAGTCCGGCGCCTCCGAGTCCGCCTGGGTCGACCCGTGCCCCTGCACCCTCGAAGGCCACCAAGACTGCATGATCCAGTGGGTCACGGAGCTGGAGCGCGAGGGCAAGGAGATCCTCTGCCCGGTTTGCAAGGCCAAGATAAACATTGACGAGCCCTACGACCCGGCGCTCGCGCTCAGCAACCAGATCTACAAGTCCTTCAGCAGGGTGTCGCCGGGCCTGATCCTCGGCGGGATCGGCGCGGGCACATGGGTCAGCTTGGCCATGTACGGCAACATTGCGGTGCGGGTGTTTGCGGGCCCCGAGGCGACGTATCGCTTCTTCTTCAATGACAGGAACCCCAGAGGCGTGCCCATGGTCAACTGGATCCACGTCGCGATCCTGCCGACCATCGCGCCCGCCCTGGTTCTGGGCTCATCGGTCCCTATTCTGGGCAATGTCTTCTTCATGCCCGTCGCCGCGCTGGTAAGCATACCTTTCTTTATACTCATTTCTCGCGGCCCTGACTGACATGATCTAGTACGGCGTTTTCCACATGGCCAAGGACGACCACTTCTTCTCCTGGCCCCCGTCCCCTCAACTCGCGGCAGCGTGCTTTCCGTACATTAGAGCTGTATACAATAACCTATGGCACGAGTTCGTCTGCCCGTACGAGAAGAGGTGGGAGCGCATAATTGCCGGACTGCCCGAGCCCGCACCTCAGGCGAACAACATACAGAACGGCAACCGCCGCCGCCGCGGTAGGAACAACGAGGGCGGCAACGAAGCTGCTAGAAACGTCGGATTGGTGGGAGGGTTGATCGATGCGGCTATCGATATGCTGGACATCCCCGACGTGGAGATGGAGGTTGAGCTGGAAGAAGTGGAGATGGGACAAGACCATGATATGGTCAACCTCGAGATTCTCGTCGAGGAGATCGAGGAGGCACATGCAGCGGAGCAAGACAACGGCGCCCGGGATATCGCTGCCGCCCTCCCTGCCCAGTTGCCTCAGCCAGGTAACGGACCACAGCAAGCACCGATCGTGGCACCGCAGCAACCAGCAGCCCAGCCGGCGCCCGCAGCTCCACGCCAGCGTGGCATTCAGGCCAGCCTCAAGGACGTCACAAACGCAATCGTGAGCACACTCCTGCTACCAGTCTTCTCCGCCGCCATGGGCGAGGCCATCCGTTTGGCGCTACCAAAGCACTGGACATCTCCTGCGGGTACCTTTGGTCGGTTCAAGATCCGAACAGGTCTTCTCCAGGAGCAATGGGGCCGGAACCTTGTCGGAGGCTGCATGTACGTGGTAATCCGCGACGTGTTTCGGCTCTACACCAAGTACCGCCTCGCGAAGAACAAGCCCCTCCGCAAGATTCGCAACGTTGATAGGCGGAGGAACCAGACCTCTTCCATTTCTCCCGCCGCTTAGGGAATGTTGAGATGAGAAATCAAACATATTTAACAGCGACAGTACACACCTGCATATCAAACGGCGTTGGCGGATAGGATAGGAGGATTGTATATCTCTTTTGCTTTAGTACTTTCCTCTATGATTAGATGTCATTCAGCATGGCGAGACGTTTCTCATCTCTACGGCCTCTGTTTGACAGTAATGAATCAGTCAGATTGAGGTATTGATCTATTATCGTGCGGTCAACAGTGATGAACAAAGATATTATTTGCATTTAACTGTATATCTGCATGATTGCATGAAATTGAAGCCAAGAGGAAATGCGCCTGTCCCGTTCAGCGGGGTAACCGGTACGTTCCTTCAGGCTCTTCCCCTCCAAGGCTCCAACGCCGCCGCCGCTTGACGCCCACCCGCCCAGTCCCCCTCCTCCCCCACCTTCACCGCGGCTGCGCTGGAACCTTCCAGCCAAACAGCTGTACCGACCGGGCGAAAAGAGAACGTGGGGAGTGACGCGGGCAAGCCAAGCAGCCGCAAAGCCCAACCCGCCAGCCATCGTAACAAAGGAGGACGATCCCCCAAAAAACCAACAACACAACATCCAAGCTCCCCACCATCTTACAACACCTCTTGATACCCCCATCCTCGTGTCGGCCTCCCTCTATTCGATTATATACACATCCACAAGTTCATACATCGTCAAAATGGTTAGCAACCCGTCCCGATCCCCCTTGCCCAGGGACAGACAGCCAAGAGAAGATTACGATCATGAGCTAACATTTTACCCCTCCTCCAGGCGACAGTAACCTCCAAACAGCGCCTCGCCGTCGCAATCTGCGAATTCCTCTCCACCTCGGTCAATGACGGCACCCTCCCCGCCGACGACAAGGACTCCATCGACGTCGCAATCCAGTGCATCGCAGACTCCTTCAAGGTCGACCCCACCGACAAGAAAATCCTCGCAGAGGCCGTCGGCGCCCAGAACCTCCACCAAGTCTACTCCGTCTACGAGAAGCTCAAGAACGCCTCCACCCCCGCCGCGGCAGCGGGCGCCTCCGCCGGCGCAGCAGCAGCAGGCGCGGCCGACGCCGCCGCCTCGGCCTCCAAGACGGTGACCGAAGAAGATAAGAAGGAGGCCGACGCCCTCAAGTCAAAGGGCAACGCCGCAATGGCCTCAAAGGACTACCCCTCCGCCATCGCCCTCTACACCCAGGCCCTGGCCCTGAACCCCGGCAACGCCGTCTTCCTCTCCAACCGCGCGGCCGCCCACTCCGCCGCAAAGGACCACGAATCCGCCAAGGCGGACGCCGAGGCCGCCGTCGCCGTCGACCCGGCCTACACGAAAGCCTGGTCCCGCCTCGGTCTCGCCCGCTTCGCCCTCGGCGACGCAAAGGGCGCAATGGAAGCCTACGGAAAGGGCATCGAGTTCGAGGGTTCCGGCGGCAGCGAGGCCATGAAGAAGGGCTTCGAGACGGCCAAGCGCCGTGTCGAGGAGATGTCGGTCGAGGAGCGCGACCTGCCCCGCCAGTCACCCGGTGTCGGTGGCGGCATGGGCGGTGGCGCGGGCGGTATGCCCGACCTGAGCAGTCTGGCGAGCATGCTCGGCGGAGGCGGAGGAGCTGGCGGTGGTGCCGGAGGCATGCCCGATTTCAGCCAGATCATGAACAACCCTATGTTCGCGAGCATGGCCCAGAACCTGATGAGCAACCCCGACATGATGAACAACCTCATGAGCAACCCGCGCCTGCGCGAGATGGCCGACCGCTTCGGTGGCGGTGGCGGCATGCCTGACCTGAACTCTCTCATGTCCGACCCCAACATTGCCGACATGTAAGTGGTCTACCTGTGACAATAGCATAGAAGTCAGTCCTAACTCTTTCTAGGGCACGTAACATGATGGGTGGTGGAGGTGCACCGGGCGGTGCTCCCGGAGGAGGCGCTGGTGCTGGTGCTGGCCGTGGAGGCTCGGCCTAAAGCATCGTTTCAAGAACTCATACTTGAAAGAACGTTGCCGTTGGAGAAACCAGGAAACACAGTCGATAACCACTCCGACTTACTACTAGAATTACCCTCACAATAACGTGCACAAAACTCCTGTGCATGAATAGAACACCATTTAACGGACCCATGAGACGAGTCTCCTTGACCAAGGTTGAAGGACGTTTTTAACGATCGGCGGCAAAGTACTGTTTAGGTAACTGAGCATGTTGGCCAAGCTATCGACCCTTCTTATCCATACATCCAGTCTAATCTAAGCTCAAGTATCCCCCAGTCTGTTCTAAAGCTTTTGCCCACCAATTCTAATGAAGCTGGTCCTTCGCCAATTTTGGGTTGCTTTTGATGCGAAACACAATAATCTCATGATTTAAAATGCAGCCCCCTCTGTGTCTTTTTAGACAAGCCAGCTTGCGCTGACGCCATTCTCTAAACAATACCGTAGAAAGCGGCACCTAACAAGCCATTTGTTGGGCCAAGAATAGTACATTGGACCAGCGCCAACTCGAACAAAAGAAATCTGATAATGTGCGGCGTAGCATTCATTGAGAAGCTGTTGAAAGCTAATGATGAGCGCTATGATCGGGGGGTTTCGCATGGCCATGGCGACCACGCCCACGGCCTCCGCCTCGGTTGTGTCGCTTTCTCTGACCACGATTGTTGTTGGGCTGCTGAGAATCTCGAGCGAGCGAGGATGCAGCTGAGTTAGACTGCATGACCTCCTTGAGAGGAGAAGATGACGTCGTTGATTTGATTGCAACCGGACCGTGAGATCCCTCAGGCACATTCTCCTTGTGGCGACAGACAGGATTGCTAGTCAAGCCGGGTGTCGGCAGCTTGTCGTTGATCAAGTCTTTGGATACGATGATGGTCATTGGGGAAGCACGAGTCTCCTGGCCCGGTGTGACGGTCTTCAACTTCAAGACCGGTGCAGATACATGGCGTACCTCCTGCAGCCGATTAGTTTCTCGCTCGGCTATGGATGGCTGTGAGGATCTTACAGCAATGACTCCATCAGCATCATCGCCACTTTGGTCCATCGCATCAGTATCGCCACAAGCTTGTCCATTGGAATCGCTCATGGCGTTGTAGCGACGGGCAGTAGGGTGAGGGGTTCTGAATAGGGGAGGCTCAAGCTTGATGACAGTGTCCACCGAGTCGTTGTCAGAGTCTTGTACCCTACTGTCGTGTCGAGCACCTAACGCCATACCGCGGTCAGAAATCTTTTCCTCGGAGCTATCATACACCATGAAGGGAAGCTTACCAGAAAGAAAGCTTACTTGAGCGCGGCTGCCGGCAGAAATGGTCGTGGTGTCAACGGTGGATCGTGGGGAGGAATCGTCATCCGAAGAAGTCGCGCTCGCCCAATTCAAAACCCGCTTGGGAGTCTGTCGAATGGGCGAGACATGTGGCCTCGTGGAATTTGTGATGGGCTGGCGAGTGGGGGATGGAAAAGAAATTTTGGTGATGGGGGTCGACTTGGGCGTAAATTCGGGTGCAACGGGGTTCAATCGAGATCCCTACACAATTAGTGGTTAGAATCTGCCAAAGACGAATCTTCAGCTGACTCTACCTCTTTCTTGTGATTACCGGGAGTCTGAACAGCCTCGTTTCCCTTGCTCGCCTGAGTCGGTGTCGTGTGGGTGTCCTCAGACGCAGAAGCATCTATCTCCGATGTGCCATCGAGCGTGGACTCGTCGGTGTCACTTGCAGACGACTTCTTGTTGATGGCGGAATCGTCATCCTTGGGCTTCAGGAAGGTTTGCTTAGACCATAGGTCTGCGTACCTTCCCTGAGCGGTAACGAGGTCGGCATGATTGCCCTGCTCGACAACCTCACCGTCCTCGATGACAACAATGCGATCGGCGTTCATAATGGTTGAAAGTCGATGACTGTGTCTGGTTAGCACATGGACCCGGTAGCTCAGTGGCACCGTGGCAAGGATGTGAACAATAGAGGCATGAAGAAAACGGAATACATACGCGACAATGAATGTGGTTCGTCCCTTGCAGAGCTGCATGAATGACTGCTGGATCTTCTGCTCTGTGTCGGTGTCCACTGAACTTGTCGCTTCGTCCAGAAGCACGATCTCGGGCTGCTTGAGAATTGCCCGGGCAATAGCAACACGCTGCAGCTCGCCGCCGGAAAGTTTGCTGGTTTTGGTCAGCTACTAGTCTATTCGCAGACACTGGAATTACTCACATTCCCCTCTCACCAACTCGCGTGTTGTATGCATCGGTGAAAGTCATGATCTTATCATGAATGCAAGCAGCCTTGCAAGCTTCAAAGACCTCATCGTCAGAAGCGGTGATTCTCGCATACCGAATGTTGCTAATGATCGTGTCGTCGAAGAGCACAGGATTCTGGGGCACCAAGCCAATGCGGTCACGGAGGCTGTGCAAGTCAACGTCACGCACATCCTGCCCATCAATCAAGATGGATCCCTCGCTGGCGTCGTAGAAACGGTTGAGTAGCTTCAACATGGTGGACTTGCCGGCACCAGTAGCACCAACAAAGGCCACCGTCTGGCCGCCGGGAACAGAAAGAGAGATGCTGTTGATGATCTTCTTCTTGGAATCATAGGTGAAGCTCACATCGTTGAAATCGACGTTGCCACCAATAAGCTTCAGGGGACGGGCCCCCTTCTTGTTCACGATTGTTGGCTCCTTCTTCATGATGTCCAACAGTCGCTCGGCATCAATCAAATCGCTTCCAATCTTCTTCCCGAGGCTGGCCATGAACCGCAGTGGGGACGTGAGTTGAGCCCAGTACATCAGGAGCATTGTCAAGTCACCAGGGGTGGCCTTGCTATTTTTGATCCTGTACACAGCCAGAATCGCGCCGGCCAACAGACCACAGAGAAGAACCAAAGACTGGAATGCTTGCGCAGTAAACCACCCGAGACGTACACGCTTAGTCCAGTTGATGCGGGTGTGGATTGCGTTAGAGTAGCGCACATCTTCATATGTCGTCTGATTGAAGGATGCGACCGTATGCCAACCCGTGATTCCAGTCTGGCGTACGTAGTGCTCGGCGTACTGGGCGTTCACGTGAGCCCGTCTGCGTTCCTTCATCACAGCAATCATCTTCGTAGCGATGAACAAGAAAAGTGTGCTGGTCGCCAGGGTGATGAGACCTTCATAAGGCCCCAAGATAACCGAGAGGTAAACAATGGCAACAACCAGGTCGATCAGCATGGGAAGAGCTTGAAAACAGATAGACTCCAGGAGATCGGAGACACTTGACCCGCCATACATGGCCAGGCTGATGTCAGATGTGCTCTTCGAATCGTGGAAGTCGGCTGAGAGGTTCAAAATGTGTCGGTAAGCTGCTGTGCTCAGAGCCCCATCGGCGTATACCTCAAGAGGCAGGTAGAGCCATTCTCGCAGAAACTCAATACCAGCGTCAGAAGCAGCGATTCTGAGCAGACCGTAGATCGCAACTCCGTACCAGGCGCTGCTGAAGTTCTTGTCTTTGAGCTCATCGACGATGATACCGAATTGACGCGGGATCAAGAGGTTGAGAGCGTTCCCGGCGAGCAGACAGAGTCCAACAAGGAAAAGGCGTAATTGCAGGGATTTCTGTCCGACAGGCCAGATATAGGGGAACAAAATCTAGACTGGTGTCAGGCAAGTTACGTATATCAGGGGTGGTTGAAGGGACGGGAAGAGTCCAAAACTTACGCCGAAGCCCTTAATGTACGTTAGCCAGTTACCCTCTTCCTGAAGGCGCTTCTCCATCTCCTCCTGTGCCTTTCGCTGGCGTTCTGCCCAGTACGACTCTGGCGGATCACTTGTCGTTCCGTACGTAGAAGTAGAGCCCTGGCTCCCGTTTCCTGAGCTGCTCAATCGCGACTTTGGGTCATCTTGGCCGAGAAGAGACTGCCGTTCTTCGTCTGTCGCTTCTTCCTGGCTAGCTCGGATACGCTGAACAACGTAGATGGAGACAATGGTAAGAAGTAGATAGTAACGGAGACCAGCAAAGACAAGGTGAGCGATGCGGCAGTGCTCGAAAGTGCTGGAGCGTCTGATAATGAGATCTGGCACTCCAATCATGGGCTCGAAAACCAAGGAAATGAGCCACGAGCCCCAGTACGGTGTCCACACAGGGTGTTCTGTGTCGGAAAGGAAGGCCAATTGAGTACCAAAGACAAGAATGCAGGACAGCAAGCCAATAACCTCATGCTCCTGACCAATCCATTCTTGAAGGATGATGGACTGAATGGCAATGACGGCAATCTGGGCGACGTAGGTAAGGACAAAGGCAACGATAAGGTTGAGGATCCATGACCGAGGGATGAACTCTTTGCCTGGGTTATTGGCTGCCCGCAAAGTCTGAAGAGTGCACACAGCAACAGCAGAAGCAATTGCAAAATAGGTGAAGGCCAATGCCGGATAGAGGTAGTGGAGGCTATCGAGAAGCTCTTCGAGGGACGCCATTGCGGCAGATGGTGTTGAGGACGTGTGGAGCAGCCGTAGATCCGCAGGACAACCGAATACTGACTAGAGAGAGCTTGAGGGGGTGGACGGATTAGGTAGTTGATGGATTCACCAAAAATCGAGAGGCGGCTAGCTGGTGTTCCCGACAAATGAAAGTTGAAGAGATTGCGAGATGCTGGGGGGAGAGACAAGTGACGGGTGTATGATGAGAGGGATACCAGGGGAGCTTTGGCCAGGGATAGATGGATGGAGCTGTGGGTGATCTGATGTCCAGACCTCTGGGGAGCGTGCCTCAACAGGGATGGTGCAAGACGGGGAAGACGGGAAGGGCTGCCTGCCAGACGGAGTTCTGTTTCGTTTCCTTCCCAAAGTTTTAGTTTTCTATCCAGCGAAGAGGCTGCTGCTTGCAGGAGGAAGTGAGCTTAGGAAACAGGGGTGACGATGGAAGAGGAGTGCGTCGTCGTGCGTAGGGTGGACCTGTGCGGGCAGGAGTGCGTTTCGATGGTTGCTTCCAGGTGAAGTCTAAAGTTAAGTTGGCGATGGAGAGGTAGGATGGATGATGCAAGCCGGCAGGAGACCGAATGATGCAAGTCGAAGCAAGATCTAGATTGCTTTTTTTTCGTCTCTAGAAAGACAGTTCAAAAGGTAACGGTGGAAAAGAGAAAGCTTGAAGAAGTGAGGTAGGTGCCGAATGTCGATATTAAAGAGTCACCACCGCGTTCCGGGGACGTGTTTGCTGCAGGTGCTTGGGAAGGAGCAGGTACCCGATCCTAGCCAGGTTCGGTGGGAAAGGGGAAAGACCTTAGGACTATCCGTAAAGTACAGGACGGCAGGATAAAGAGAAAGGGGGTGGACCAAGGTAAGGTAAGGTCCCTTGCCTTATGGGAACCTAGGATCAAGAAAGTGCAAGTGCAATACCTATGATTGAGCCTTCTTCTTGTTCTTTGCAGTTCCAGGCGTGCAGGTGTGCTAGGTTCCTTCTGTTGGTGTGAGAGAATGTAGATGCGTGCCGGGTGCGTCGAGTTGATGCAAGGCAGCTGAGCACTGTCGTCTAAGCGGAGGGAACGTGAATCAACTGCTCCAGCTGGGGCGAGAACGTCTCAGAAAGAGGGAGGAACTGGCTGGTAACTGCAGGGTTCAGGTACCAGATCGTCTCTTTCCCTTTTTCGGTTCACCGTTTTGGTGAGGAAGGGCTCCGGGAAGTTTGAAGGTAAGAAGGCAAGGTAGGTACTTTCGCAGAAGAGGGAAACAGCCTTGGGCTCAGCAGTCTGGCGCACACCTTCCTCTACACCTTCGGTCTGTTGGTAAAAGGAAGGTAACGTGTAATCAAGGTACCTTGCAGAAAGGGCAGGAACTGGGAAGCGTATCTGTGGAAACTTGAAGGGCCAGGCACAGAGTCGTTGTACGTCAGCCAGTCGGCTCCTTCCTCTCCCTGAAACCTGTACAGGCAAGGCAGGTAGGTACCTCGAAAATTCTCTCCCGAGATGTAATGGCCCAGCCAAGTCGCGCAGGCGTGGGGGGAATTGGCGGGGGAAATGGGCAAATGCGTGATGAAAATCTCCAAGTAACACACTCAGGTCTCTCCAGTAGTTTATTTGCTGCTCGCCTTGCGTTGGTGCTCAGTAAGCTAAGGTAACAGTTGGCGCTGGGTGCTGAGGTGCTGTTCCTGTTGCTGACACTGCCGCTGCTGCTTGCTGAGAGCTTGCAAGATGCTTGTGTGGCGGCCGGAGCCGAAAATCGAGCAGAGTCTTTCGTGTAACACCAAACTGGACACGACACTCCCAAACCCGGGATGACAGGGACAGGGACGACGCGTCTCCAACTCTGCAGGAACTTCTCCTTGAGTCTCGCTCCCTCGTCTCAATTCGCCTCTTTCTTGTCGTCTATTTTGCGTTGCCTCAAACCTAAGGCAATTTATGCTGAAACTCCGGACGGTCTTGTCCACAGGCTTCTCTGGTCGTCTCACTCTGTGCCGTTTGACAAGCCGCCACCAAGAACAACGAAGAACGACCTTGGACAGCTATGCAATCGAGCTCGAGTACGCTGCGATATAGGATTGTGACCCTTCTGAATTTAGTCGAATGCCGGAGGTGGTAGAGCTTTCGCTGGCTGAAAACGAAGCACAGAAGTGACGGAGACAATAAGAGAACGAAGGTCTCGAGGGCAGAAGTTCGTGTTACCCAAACGCGGTGCTACGCTTCTCAGACCCCGGTCACCGTGTGTCCGTGGCAGGCGAGATACCCGGCAATCAATTACACGCTGTCGATATCGCTGTAGCCTCCCGGTTGATGTTTGTTCCACTGGCTGATGATGGGTTTGTCGCTGATGTCGTTTGGCTTGATGCTGTCCAATGTCTAATGAATGGAAGAGAACAGGTAACGAATGAACACAGACGCTTTGCCTCGCGTGCGATCAGCTCGATAGTAGATATTTAGATCAACTGTTGAGGTTTCTGCCTTGACTCAGATGCCCATCAAGGTTCCAGATGTTGCAAACACCTGGAATGAGACGCAAGAAAGGGGTGGATACACCAAGCTCCAGATGCCCAGGCCAACGAACCGGCTGGTTTGCTTGTCCAACCTACGCACCCTGTCACGACCTGTCTGTCTGTTTCTCAACGCCGGCCAGGTGATGCCCCAAGCAACAACGAGACCGGTGTAGTGCGCTGGAAACGGCTTCACTCGTGCAAGCCAGCGTCGAATGATGGTGCGAGCGTATTCGCGGATCCGTGGGGATTTCGAAGGAAATGGGCCCCAGCTCAGCATCATTTCTTGCGGACGGGAGTTGCGGATCTTTAAACCATGTCGACTGCTCCGCCTGCCTCGGCCCATGATGCCTGGAGAGGCTCCCACCAATATCATGCACATTTGTTGCACAAGCCGCATTCCTAATTCATCATCTTCACTCACCGGACGGGTTGCCTGGATTCATAAGCAAGAGGCGAGGGCGAGCCCTGAAGGCTCCAGTACTGACAAGAGCGCTTCGTATCTGACAGTCAATGGCGCTCGCCGAATCACTGGCCATCGTATTCACAGCCATGAGGCGCAAGGAACTCCAGCAAAGTCGCCATCCAGTTGTGTCTGCTTTTCCACCGACTACGCAACGGACTTCGCTCTGGCCGACGGCATTCCCAGTCAAACGGATGGATGTGGCATCCGTCACCATGCCCATTGGCTTTCACACGAGAGTCACGAGAATACAAGTTGCTTCTTCTTCCATGCAACGCGGTATCTCGTTTTGACTCACAAGGCTACGGCTCGGCCGACGCTGCTTGAGTGAGGGTGGTTGTTCCGAACTTGGTGACGAGATGGATGCGTCGTTCTGCGTTCAGCAAACCGTAATAGAGACCTTGCATGTTCTTGTGCACCATCACACCGGAGGACCCCAAACGACGATTGGTGTGGGAATCCCGAATCCTGGATTACCAAGATCCCCAGGTTCTCCCAGACGTGCAGCCTGCATATGCAGCATGCACACGGCCAAGGTACTCTGTACAGGTAGTTAAGTCCCCAGCACAAAGCCTTGCTCTCGTGAGCATCTCCGGCTATTAGGAATCCTGTCTCGGTGACATGGCAGCACTCCCCAGGGGCACATTATCCAGATGCATCAGCAAATTTGGTCACGTCTCGCAGGTGCCTCATTTCTGCCTGCCTACGGATGCTTTCCTGCAGGTGGCACCATCACCAAGTCATCCGCTGATTTCTATCCAGGCAATGCAAGCCAAACATTTACCGACCTTTGATGTAGAGGCTATCCGGAGGCCTGCAAGAGCCGTAGCGCCTCAGCTCGGTGTCGACAACAACCTATCACGATTCTAGTCGGTAATCAATATCGAAAGCCACAGCACAGGGGGCAGAGCGGCTCGGATCCCCGGTGCTCGCTGAGCGCACGACCCACTGCCCCCTGTTGATATGCAAGGCACTGCCTGTCACTCCCCATCGACGGAATACCTACCTCAAGCCTCAAGGTCCTCAACTGATCAGGAATGCACCTCAGATCGCCAACCAGCCAGTGTTACCGTTGGCAACTTTGTTTGACTGGTTCGAGACCACTAGCACCGCTTGTCAGGCTAAGGTGAACTATGTAAAATGAGTCTATGAATGGTAAATTACTGCAGCACTTCCCACCATCAGCCAATCGTCTCCATGATGCTTACACACGGTACGTACCGCGCTGTTGGAGCTCACCATTCCGTAGTGTTTCGGAGCTTGAGCCTGGCGTCCGGATAGCTTCCGCCATCCCGCTGACAGCACGTCCCGGCCCCAAATATCAACCTTCACCAGAACAACCGTCCGCGTTGCAAAAACGTTGTGGCTGGCACTGGCAACCAACTTGTCGGGCGGTTTCTCGACGCCATGCTTTTTGCAGTCGTTGGACGGTAGACCTGGCCTGGCCACCCATCCATCTCTCGACCGTCCATCCCGGGTATTGGATCTGAGCTGTCTCACCGCTTGTGATCTCTTGGTGGTATGAAAAGCAATATCTCGCATTACCCCTGGCAGGATTGCATGGGCATCCTGCTGCACCTTTGCTTACTAGCGCCCCATCTCCAGCGACATGTTGGGGTTTGATGAGCCCAATCTGGATTCTCCTAAACTGGGCATTCAATTTTCTGTGTCAATGTAGCTAGCCACCGAGACCTAGTTGCCGAGGCAGAAATTCAACGTTGTTTGACATTTGCAGGCCAACACCACATTTCCAGATAGACACATTCGCAACCCATACTTGACCGGAAGATGGATATTGCTCTCTTAAGTTTACTTCGCCGACAATCGCAAACTTCCTTCCTACTCACCAATTCTAATGAGTACCGACCGTCGAACGTTCAGCGACTGCCACAGCTTCCTAGACGCCTATTCTAGGCTCCGTTATTCAACTCCTGGCCGACAATGCTGGTCCCCAGTGGGGCACACAAACATCGACAAAAAAGCAGGCCGAGAGCCGATGGGCAAAAAAGAATTTGATGTCAATCGCTGACGGGAATTGAGCCCGACGTGGCTGGAATGTGTTAGCTGCGAAGCTCATGCCTCGATGAGAGCTTGCAAGCACTTACGGGTCGAACCCACAACCTTGAGATTAAGAGTCTCACGCTCTACCGATTGAGCTAGCCGGGCGAACGGCTTGATGGTTGATGGACGAGGCGAAGACCGGGACTCGTCTTGTTGCGACGTGGTGGATTTGTCGTCCCCGACCCATCTTCGCGACAGCAATGATCGATGGGGAACCACTGATCAGTGATGGCGTCCTTCCGTCGGAAACGATGTGCGGGAACCTGTGCGCAGGATCCATCCGCAGTTAACTCACTTCCTTTTCCTAGGGCTGAGGGTGTGGGCTAGGTGAGCTAGGTAAGCCAGATGTTTGAGACACCACATGCCAGCGTCGCACAGAGTGATGTGTGGCTGGATGTTTGATGACTTGCGTGGGAGAAATTCTACGAGGATCGTGTGATTTGAGTTTAGAAACCCGATGGCTCCTTGGGGGTCTTGTGGTCGCTGCGGAAACGTGGCATCGGGGGCTGCCCTTTGCTTGGTCTAGCTTTGCAGCGTTTTGCTTTTGCAAGCCGTTTTCCAAGGGGGCTGGACGAATTGTGTCTCGGTGTTCTTGATGGCGCGGCAAGAGAAGCCAAGCGGAAGGCCGAGGCCGGGCTGGGCTGTGCTAGGTGGGATTGTAGACCGATTCAAAAGCATCACCATCTGGGCGGTACCGCAAAGCGAGGCTCGCCGAGATATAAGGACTACAGTTCCTTAGAGATAGGGGCGTCCAGTGGCATCACGTTTCTCCGGATCTTACTCCGCTGATTGCAAGAAGGGACGAAGAGTACAGAATCACGACTAGGCAGAACAACATGGCAGCACGCGCTACGGAGAAGTAAGTGTGCCCAGGCAACGTCTTCTTGATGAAAGCCTTTGAAGCCATCTATCTATTGTGAAGAGTCCTGGTTTTTCTTCCCTTGAAAACGAAAACGAAAACAAACGTGGGGTATGTTAGGTCCTGGTACCCTTTCCCTTGTCCCTTCCTGCCCAAACGTGATATGCTGTCCGAGTCGTAAGAGACGTGAGGTGTGGAGGGTCATGTAAAACCGAGAGCCCATATCATAACTTTTCCTCCTCGGGCTTTCCGTGTCGAAGTGATGAAGTCGAAAGAGTGGAGAAAACAGACGCGAGATGTCGATGGGTGTATGTGAAGTCGTACTAGCGGTGCCGTGTTTAGGGGCATAATGAGGGTATGATCGTTCCTATCAGTCGTTTACCAGACGTCTGTTATGATGTGACCGATTCCCATTCCCAAAGTTCCACTCAAGCCTCCTTCCTGTAACGAAATCCCATGAACCATCTGAAAAAGCTGAGTACGTGGAGAAAGTCCTAAATGCAAACGAAAAGAAGACGGACGTGAAAGGTCGAATGGTGAGTGACGTCCTGATAGCGGTGCCGTATGTAGAGGTATGGCGATGGTGTGATCTTTCCCATCAGTCGTTTGCCAGACGTCTGTTGTGATATGACCAGTTCCCGAACTCCAAAGTTCCAGTTAAGCCTTCCCGAACCGAGTATCCCATGAATCAAAAGAAAAAGCCGAAAAGTCCTGAATGCAAACGAAGAGAAGATGGGCGTGAAAGGTTGACGGGTGTAGGGAGGCCGGATACGTGCTGCCAAAGGTAACGGAGCATGGTCTCGCTCCATCAGTCGTCATAGTGCCGTCCGTTATGATGTGATCAATCCCAATAAATCAACCAGCCTCCGGAAAACCACTGTCGTAACCATCCGAAGAGTCCCATCGCAGACCACAGGAAGACCGAAATTGGCAAAACCTTGTCCTTGAAAGCAGACCACAATCAGAATCATCAATGGCTTCGCGTCGTGGTATCAGTCAGATGAGGTATGTCCCAAACCACCGAGAAACCAGCAATCCCCCTTCTGGGAAAGAAAGCTGTGGTTCGCGACTCGTGACTGGATCTACCGGGGTGGCTCATAGACGCCAATGTCGGCAGGGAAGCCTGTGAACACGCTGTACGTGTTGTGATGAGCCAAGGCGATCCGAAGATGCTCTTGGTAGGTGATCGGTCCGAAAACGGGACGAGAACCGGGTGAGGGCGAGCGGCGCGGGTAAGGGATGAGGGGTCCTGCTCCGGAGTTGCGGGCGCGGTCGATCTCCTCTTCGGTGAGGGGGACAGGGGAGGGCAGACGGGTGCCGTAGGGCAGCTGGCGGAGGCGGCCGGCGGGGTCCTGGTTATATATGTGTTAGTATACCCTTTGCTAAGGACAGGCTGGCGAGAAGGGGGGTACAAATACTCACGATCCAAGAGGGATCGGTGCCGATTCCACGGCGCGACCGAGTCGCCTGGGCGCTCATCTCTGCCGCGGAGAATCCTCCGGGGTGGGAGACAGTCCAGCGGCGAGGGCCTTCCTAGGGCTCTCGGCCAGCCAGACTGTCTCCCCAAGGCTCGTCGTCGGAGCCCTGGCCCCCACCTGAGGCGCGACGGGCCGCTTCTGCGCGCTTGAAAGCCGCGCTGCGGTCCGTCGCGGCCCCAGGTATATCGATGGGGGCCGTCTTGGTAGTGGTGGTGGTGGGATTCTTGGAGGAGGAGGCCATCTTTATAGTTATAGTTGTCTAGAGTAGAGTAAAATAAGTGGTCAGTATTTCCCTTCTTCAGTTCGTTCGCTCGTATTCGTGGACGAATGTGATATAAGTGTGAAGAACTTACTGGTAGTAGAAGAAGTGATGGTGGGGGTGAGGAAAGAAAGAAAAGAGAGAGAAAAAGAAGAAGAAGAGAAAGAAGAGAAAGAGAAATGAAGGATCTCACCAAGGGAGGTAGAAAGGATATTCCAGACGTGGGGCCCTTGCGATAGCCTCATTAGGGCCTTGAACAAGAGCAGATCGCCTTTGCCCTACTGCGGCTTGACATAGGGCAGAGTGAAGATGCGGCTGAGGTGGGTGTGTGGTCTTGGGTGGCATCACATCGCCGTGGCGATGTGAAGACTGTCATACTGTCAGAGGCGGGAGCAAGGCACTCGGGCTAACGAATAGTAGAAGAGCTTTGAACTGTGTTGAAAGACAAGACGGGAAAAGACGACTTTGGAAAGGTGAGAGAGGTGGTGTTGGGAATAGCTTCAATTGCAGAGTTTCTGCCTCTGGCCCTAATCATGCTAGTGGTATCTTCAAAATACAGAGTCATATCCATACCAGACTTCAGAGTATGTTCTTGGTCTGCTCCTCTTTCAAGCGCTTATGCTCCTGGAACTTCCGCTCATGCTCAGCCACAGCAGCCTTCCCAACCTCCTCGTGATGCTTGAGGATGAACTTCTCGGGCTGGTCCTTAATCATCTGACCCATGCCATCCCTGAATTCCTCGTTCTCCTCTGGCTTGACACCATATGATAGGTCACCGTCAATGATGATCTTCTTAAACGCCTTGTTCAGCAAGCCGCGGTACTGGCCGTCCTTAGCATCAGTCCCGGGGACCAATCTTTGGCAGACTTCCTTGATCTTTGCCCGAACCCTGTCCTCCCCGAGGCTTATGATGAGCCGCATGCATTGGCGCGACATCATGGGCTGAAAGTTGCCCCAAATCGCAAAAGCTTGTTGGTGAACGTCCCAGTAGTATAGATCGGGTCGTCCCGCGTAACGTCCCTCTTCTCGGCAGCGTGGGAGGAACTCGTCAAAATATTGGCGGAAGGCGGGCCGTTTTATCAAGCGCTGCCTGTTCTTACTCTTGAGCTTCTTCGTCGCGGGCTCTCCCGCGGTGCCAGTGTCTGTCTTGTTGTTATCCTTGCCGTCTGACTCCTTGGCCTCCATGATCATTTCCGGGTTCGTTGGGTCGGGGTTGTTGTGCCGGCCGTAATTGGTCTCGATGCAAAAGAACCGACAGGATGCAATGTACTCGTACATCTCGTCTCGAGTCGCGAAGGGCTCCGAGAACCTTTCCACATTAAGGCCCAAAAATACGAGTACCTCGGCAGGGTCCCTCGAGACATGCACCTTGGGCCACTTCTTGCTGTATCTCTCGTATCTTTCAATATCGTTGTTTCGTAGTGACATGGAGTAGTCGTCCACAGTCAACCCGCGTGGTTGAAGAATGGTCTGCATGATGATCCAAAGATCGCCGTGGGCATGCTTGAATAAAATCCATTGTAGTTGTTGAAGTGAACTGCAGATGGTTATGTCGACTTGGATAAACCGCTTCGGTTCATCTGCATCCATCTCCTTATCTGTCACCGGCCATGGGACGGCATAGTTGTCTCCCCCGGAATTGTAGATGGAGCGCTTGGCACCGAGGGCGGCAAAGATGGCCTTGCGTGCCTCGTCTTTAGACATGATTGAATGGCCCGGTGTTCTTTCCTGTCCCTCGCCATAGTCGTTGGCCATCTCGAACCACGCTTCGTCATCTTCCCGTTCTTCTTGTCGTCTAGGAGTTGGCTTTGGTGCTATCGAACCACCGCAATTCCCAACGAAAGGTGCTCTCTCCCAGGCGACTAGGATGTCGATGTCTCCATAGTCTTGCTTCTCGGGTCCTTCGATAGGGCTAGCCACACAGAGGTACAGCTCCCGCAATGCATCGAAACATCCGGTCTTGGCTCGTTTGTACACTGTGGCGGGCATTCGTGGGGTGTCTAGAGGATCATCCCCAGATGCGAAGGCAGAGCCTCCCATTGCGAGAATGGCAGGCCAGATGGCCAGAGAAAGTTTGACCTAGTCTGCACCACTTAGCCTCCATTCATCGCGAAAGGTGCGATACTCATACCTTGGCTAGCGTCGCTGTTTGTAGGTGAACTTTGGGCAATGAGCGCGAGAAGCAGTATCAGAAAACAACCACAACAGGATGGCTAAGGTGTTGGAATACTTGAACGATACTCCATAAGAAGCTCGGACAGAGTTGCGTTGATATAACTTAAGGATGCCAATGCTTTATACAGCGAGCAACTCGGGCGACTGGAAATGACGGTGCTTGGACTTGGATGACTCAATCGGAGGCGGCTGACTCAACAGCTAGTCCACGGAGATACCTGGCTTCCAAAGGGTCAACGCGGAAGTAGTCCCAAGAAGGAGAGGTAGTCTGCTACTGGGCGGTCGCGGCTTCATAAGTTGAGTGACATGCAGAGATAGCCCCGCTTCGTGATTGTTCTTCCATTTCATTGAGGCAAACACTGGGAAGGATGTGGAGGGGTCGTGCTCCCCTCACTGTGTGGAGTGGCGATTGTCGAGATGTACACACTGTGGAATCGGCTCCCTTCGGGTACGCACCCCGAGCAACGTTTTGATTCCTGCCTGCTCTCGTAGAACAAGTCAAAGAAAAGAAAGAAGCATAGGAAAAGACCTTTAGGAGCGCAATGAAGAACTAGCGCTGTCTGCCGAGTTCCATAACCGCTTCGGAGGGTGGTTCCTTGTATCTCATTCAAATTTCTGGCGGGCGGACAGTGCACTTTCGGACCCTCAACAGGCAAAGCAGTCGTCTTTTAGTCTACTCAACTGACAATCATCTAACCTCATGAATCGGCAGAGCTACACATATTGGGCCATTTGATTCCTGGAAGAATCCCGATACAGTCTGCCAGTGTTACGTCTCCTAAGTTGAATATTGGGCGATTTTCTACATCTCCAGCTCGTAAGACCCTGAGTGTTTTACGAGAAGCAGCAACCCAGGCAGCAGGCAGCAAGCGGCTTATTGAAGCTATGCTCCTTCTCTCAGAAGTGTTGCAGTGTTTTCTTTTGTCTCAAGGATCGTCAGTGATTCAATAGTGACTAGTCCGTCGCATTATTCTCCTCACCCAGGACTACACAAAGGCGGTTCCTGAGAGTGTCCGGAGCCTACCGGAGATCACTTCGGGGACAAGTGGGGCCAACCCGGAAGGCTACGGCACCGTGTCCGACCACTTTCCATGGCTAATTATGACTTCGCACCTCTCACGCCTTGTGCCTTAGATAGGGAAAAGATCAAAACAATTCACATATCCACGCCCTCAACGCTCTTTTTGGACCTCTTTCCCTTTGTAGGGCTTCTGACCTTGCCTACGTCGCTTGTAGTCTTTCAACATGGCATTGTAAGGCAGGTACTCACTCTTGTTTCGTCAACACCCACCTTCTTCTCTTTTCATCTCCCACAAACAACACCCTAGGGTAGAGGGAAATCCCACGAAACAACCCGTTTCAACACAATATTCCCTCTGCTTCCTCTTCTCAGCATCATCTACTGTGGAGTCGGATCTCTCCTGCCGATCCGCGCCGTGGTTGCCATCTCTCTACATACCCGAATTAGCTAGTTCACACCAAACTACAGTTCAGACGCTCGAACTATCGCTCGCAATGGAGAAGGTCATCGACTACCGCATTACCTCGCGCGCGATGGTCGAGGATCACAACAAGAAAGCTGTTGCGGCTGGCGACAGCAAAAAGATCCTTGACATGTAAGTTGACCCAATCCTATGCCTGCGCGCTTTCTGACATACCTGTGATAGCTCCGAAGATGAGTTCGTCCACATCTACTGTGGAGACATCATCTTCGTTGTCTTCCGCGAGGTCATCACCGCTGGATCCTTGTACTTCGATGCTTGTCTCCTCGGCTTCTTCAAGGAGTCCTACAACCAGGAGATCTTCTTCGATGACATTGATTCCAAGGCTCTCAAACTCTACCTTCAACTCACTCACGGCTGGTACTTTGAGATAAAGTCTTTCGGTAGCAAGGTCGTTCCCTTCTCTCTATTCGATGATCTCGTCAATGCCAATGACCCTGAGGCCTTCAAGCGAGCTCACCTGGAGATCCCCAAAATCAAGCTCAAGACCATGGCTCAGGTCTGCATTCTCTGCGATCGTTTCCTTCACCGCTCGCTTCTCTGCATTGTCAGACACATGTTTATGACCTTGCTGGCCCGTACCAAGCAGAACTGGAACACCCTCAAGTACGAGGATTCCGACTGGAACATGAAGTACCACGTCGACTTCATGCTCGACTACATGGCTGCCTTCGACCTCTTCTCTACCGGTCACGATGATGAGCACCTCATCAGAGATGCTATCTCGGAGAGCTTCTACTGGTTCACCAGACACACCCCATCCCTCGTCCAGCATTTCTGGAACATAATGAGCCCCAAGTTCATTGCAGAGTGGAATGTCTCTCGCCACATTGTCTGGGATCCGGAGTCGGAGATCATCATCGGTCGCGAGTGGGTCAGATTTGACCACGCCAAGAAGCTTTTCATCACCGATCAGCTCGTCTTCGAGAACTCAACCAAGCAACAGAAGGACATCAGAAACGGCCGCGTCGACAACATGTGCTCGATTGCTGACCGCATCAAGCTGTTCCCTTTCGTTGAGGAGCATGAAGACAACCGCACCCGCCTCGCCCGTCTCCGCGCTATCGTCGAGCAGGTTCAGCACAAGGACACCACTCAGTACCGCACCTTCATCCCCGGCGCCAAGATTCACCCGGTCACTGGCCAGAACGACCTCGGACAGCGTGCTACTTCCAAGAAGCAGGGCAAGAACAAGGCCAATCATGCTGGAAGTGGCTTGGGCGGAGGAGGCCGTGATCGCGATAACATGGTTAAGATTCAACGCAATCATAAGGCTGGCAACCATCAGCCGAAGCGTGTCCAGGCCCAGCGCGGTGACGATGTCGCTGATGCTACCCGCGAGAATACTCACAGCCATGCCGGTGGTGTTGGTCGAGCTCAGGGCGGCGGACGTGGTCAGACTAATGGCCGCGGTCGTGGTGGCGGTCGTGGTAGCGGTCGAGACAACGGCGGTGCTCAGGGTCACGCTCAGAACCACATCCAAGACCGTGATCAGGTTCACCTTGAAGGTCAGGCCCAGGGCCGTGGCGGTGGTCGTGGCAAGAACCGCGGTCATGTTCATGCTCATGATCATGCTCAAGATACTGCTCAGAACCCTGCTCAGCGTCACGCTCAAGGTCGTGGCGGCGGGCGTACCAAGACTCATGGCCGTAAAGAACGTCGCGCCCACAAGACTCAGGATAACTCTTGAAGGGTGATCTAGTCTAAGTACGTCGTGGGCGAAGATCTCGCCATCTTCGGTTCTCATCCCAGCCTTTTCATGCTAGAAGCTCCAAACATGAGTACTAACATGAGGTGTGATGAGCAATTTTGTGGTTTCAAGGTTTTGTTTTACCAGGTTCGGGACAATCAAAAGTTTTGTGTTTTCTTTGGAATGAGCTGGAGGATCTGACTTTCATCACGATTTGGTATGAGGAACGGCTTTCATTCATTCAGGCTGATCCAGGAGGATCCGGGGGTTGAACGATTCGACGTCATGGCCTGGGTATTGTACGATAGGAAAAGAACTGCAAATAGCATAACATCATGTTATAACCGTTGATGTCCATTCGCAATATGTGACTGATGACGGTGGCATGACTTGTCATGGGCCAAGACATTGAGGAACGGGCTTTTTGGCATTCACTGACAAGAAACTTGCTCTGGCTTCTGCACATCAATTCCCCGCCCGCCAATATCGTCTCATCTTCCGAAGAATGCCTCTGATATCACCGGTTAGGGCTGGATCAATTGACAGGCGCATGTCTTAAACGCGCAATCAATAGGGGTTTTAAAGGGGGCTCAATCGACATGCCCAGACTTCCTCGGCACTACCGGCGCGCGCTTGGCGGCTGTGTTTGTCTTATTGACAAAAGTAACGAAAGCGAAGATCCCAGATCCATGACATTTCGTTGCTGCACACTCTCCACAATTCGGGTGAACCGCTAGCCTGGGATTTGACAACGAGAATAGAGTTTACCACGTAAATGAACCCACGATGGACTGCTCCGGAACCCTTGATTGCTTCGAGGGGCACGCAAGGAAGGAGCGTGAATCTTGGCAACCAAAGTTTAATAAACATGACAAGCGGACACGGACAATGACGACAATTCAGCGTTAAATAAGCGACGTGCCCAGCCATTTGGTATTCATACACCATCCCGCGATCCCGCTGCTGATCCAACCTTTGTCACTTGTTTCCTCACACCAGCCATCCATCTCACCCGTTCACCCGCCAGCAGCCATGCACATCCCCGTCGCTTTCCGCGCCTTGGCCTCCGCGGCCCTCTTCACGCCCTGGGACAAGAGCCAATGGATCGCCTCCGACGATACGGTCCGCAACGGCGCGAGTCATTCCACCCTCGACATCATCGAAGCCGGCGCGGCCGGCAACCCGTTCGCGCAGTCAATTGCAAACTTCCACGGCAACCTCGACTACGCGACGCTCGGCGGCGCGGGCTTCGCGTCCCAGCGCACCGTCGACGACTGGCCGAGCCTCGACATCTCGGCGTACGACACCATCACCCTCGAGATCCCGTTCACGGACGGCAAGAAGTACACGTTCAATCTGAAGGATACGGTGCCGCCGCCCGTGAATGGCGTGGAGCAGTCTGGCGTCAGCTGGGAGTTTGACTTCCAGATCCCGGCGGTGAATCACACGGACGGCGCGGTCGAGAAGGTGGTGATGCCGTTTAGCGCGTTTGTGCCTACTTTCCGCGGACGGGTTCAGAATGATACTGCGCCGCTGAATTTGACGAGCATTAAGAGGGTCAACTTCATGATTCGAAGGTTAGTGAGGTCTGTTTCTTGCGAATGTGCGGGTTGGGGCTAACATTGTCATAGTTTCTTTGCTGAGCAGGATGGGGATTTCGAGCTGCACATCAAGTCTGCGATTGCTTCGAAGGAGGAAAGCAAGTAATAGATCATGATTCATCACCAGCGATTAATACCATCCCAAGCGAAACTCCGCAAACATTCTTGAGGCTCCTCTGGGAAGTGATGAGTCTTAGAGTCTAGACTCAAAGGTCCGGGCACTGGTTTTCGAAAGTCCCATTTGATCGGTTACACCGCTGAAAACTCTCACAAACATTTTTGGCCCCGCTCTCTCGTCGTCTGATATCTCGTTATAAGCTGCCTCAAGCACCCTGTGAGCGGTCGGAGTCGCACTCCACAACTCGGTGCTTTCCGATATGCGGAGAATTTGGCAGCCTTCTCTCTGATACTCTTCGCAATAGCCTCATTCTGCTTGATATCGCGACCATGAAAAGCGTCAGTATCACTTCCCGAACTGGGCTAAAATTGAGGCATTGGAGGCGGCCGCCCCGACCGCCCGATGCTCCATTTACCACAATGTGACCCAGTCTTACGGCCCGCAGGAGAGCACCGACCAAGTCTCTCACGAGTCCGCCAAATAACACGCTTAAAATCCAATTATTGGAGGTCACATCGTCTCGCTTTTAGATAGGGACTTTGGTTCATGATAATTAGTATCCTTCATGGGTCGTTCCTCCAAGTTGCATATATCCAGGCCCGCTTTCCCTGCATGTGACAGTTCGCCGACCGCATGCTGATCTTTCTCGGTTAGTACTCCCGAAAGCTAAGTGGACTCAAGCTTCTGCCCTGCTAGGTTTCTTTCCGCGACCTTCCTATTCTTCTCTACGGCACTTGACATGTAGCGTTATTCACTCAGACTAAGCTTTGAAGGAACAGAGTGGACACTGCCATTCAGATATCCATGGGGTTAGAAGGCTATACTAAAGATACATCCTGAAGTGGATTGCTGCCTCGACATCCTCGCAGGGTAACAACTCCATCATGTTTGTTTGTTTGTTTGTCCCATTTTATGCCATAATGTCCTCAAGTGAGGCGAAAGGCGACTACACCGCGCTAGAATTATATAACCGTATATAGTACCCCGTAGAATCTATATAATACCCTCTTACAAAATAGTATAATATATAATCCAAGATTTAACCCTTCTGCTTATACGTAGCCCCCCGTAATATCTTATAACCTAGAGTAACTATACTTAGCGAGGTTCGAGCGCTACGCTAGTAACATAAAGGATAAGCTAAGTAGTGTTCTATATATCTATAAAAAGACCCTCGTTATGCCGTAGTAGGTATCACCGCCCAAGGCAGGAGGTCGTGTTCTTCCGGAAAGTTGAGGAAGATAATGTACAGTTGTGAGATAGGGTGAGTGATGTCTGGGAGAACTTGTGACGACGTGATCTCGGGTCTTCCATGCATTTGAAGAGGCAAAGTGTGCACTTCAGCCTGTGCGTACCTGTCCGCTGATGGCGAGGCTCACATAACGCCGTTGTTGTCTGGAAGGCCTGGTTATCCTCGAACGAATGGTCGAGAACTGTTGCGATAGGCCATCGCGAAGAATAGTCTTGCAGTTTACCTACAAGGCTGAGCCGACATGACCGAGACCCCTGTTTTTAGTGAGCTTACATGTAACCTTACTTCAAGCTCTGTGGAGAATACATATCGGTTGAGGCTTTTGAAAAGGACTTTGGTCAAGCATGCAGCTCCGCCCAGACCCGTCTCGAGACTTGTCCCAAAAGAAAGGCTTCACCGAAGAGTTATCCGTCTGCTCTCACAATTAGCTATAAAAAAGCAAAGCCATTCCCAATGTCTAGATTTCTACTCTCAGCACTGGCATTCATCTCATCAAGACTCAAGCTCAGAGCCCGCTCAAGTCTTCAAGATGGTCAACGTTGCCCTCTCTACCCTGGCTGTCTTGGCCGCGGCTCCCTTCATTGGAGCCGTCCCCACCGCGACCCAGTCTGATGCCGCAGAAGTCTTCTCCTTCGCCAAGTGGGTCGATGGCATTATTGCCAACCCCGAAGGAGACAACTTGACTCCCAGCCAAGCTGTCGAGGCCTGGAGAGAATCTGTCAACGCCACCGAGTCTGACGGCACCACTTCGACCAACAGCCTTCTCCAGAAGCGCGTCACTTGCAACACTGTTGCCGGCACTGAAGCCTCCGTATGTCCCTTTCTCTCTTGCAGCACCCTGGCTTGATAGGATCGAGACCGCTGACATAGATCCGAACCAGGTCCCTGACGCGGTATCTTGCATCAACGACCTTGCCCGTAAGGGCAGCCAGGCATGCGTTGTTTCGTCTGTCTCTGTCTTCTGTCTCCTTGGCAATGCTCAAATCACCGGTGTCAAGGGAGGCACTAACGCGGCCTCTACTTCTTCAGCTTGGTGAGAACTGGCCCCTGATCTCTTAATTGTGTGACATCAGATACATAATGCTGATACCTCTGCCCCAGTAACGACGTTGCCCGTGCCGGCGGTCTTATTATGGACAGCTGCACTCGTGCGGACAACACTGTCCAGGGCCAAGAGTATGCGTGGGGCAACGGCAATCTGCTGGTGCACATCCGAAGGCCCGGTTTGTAGATGGCTTTGGCATGCGCTCTCGAGATAGAGAGATAAGATGACGCGAGAGAGTTATGGGCCCGTGGAGGGTTCTGCGAGAGCAGTGTCTATCCGCCTCCAGTTCAATAGTATACACATCATAGTCTAAGTCGCACGTCCGTCTACAGTGTGAGATTCGATGGACGGCCCGTAATGAAGGTACTTGAGATAAAAAAGCATCTAGATAAAATCACTACGAATAACTACCTACACAACCAGGGAAAGATCAAATAAAACGATAATTAGGCCTAGCTGTGACTCCCCGAACTAGTGAATGACTGGGAGGTTGATCCAGGTTTTGAGACCATTTATGACGGCCAGAAATCTTCGGTGGTCGCACCTTCCATACACACAAACTCGTCCCCGTAACCCCCATCCCAGTTCTGAAAGTCCACGCCTGGCCAATCGAAAGTGTCCCCAGCTGGTAGATCCGAGACGATGGGGGGTTGATGACCTCCAGTGGAGATGGGAGGCCCATTCTGCATCAACACGCCAGGTGCTGGACAAGTCTGGACATGTTAGTACTTACAGAATAAGCTTTGGCAAAACTCACCTTCTGGGTAACATTTGGCGTGGGGGCTCGCTCAACTTTAGGTGCAATCAGTCGTTCGCGGCTAATCTTCATTGTTGTGTAAGTATGAGGATCACAGCCTGAACCCGATGCAAGAACTTACTGAAGAGGACTTCAAACCAGTTGATGTACTATTGTATATCACAGGTGCGCCCTGGGGCGAAGATTGTAGTGTGACAATTACACCCGGCGACTCGCCATCATCGAAAACGTCGTCGACTTGACTGTGAATCACCGAAACAGCAGCCTTGCCCTTCATGGGTGTTGACATCTGCATCATATTGTTGTTTCCCGCCATCTTGTAACGCTCATAGTCAGCATACTTGGAGCCTTGGAGAAGAACTTTCGTCCCTCTATGTAGGATCTCCTGAATGGTCTGTAATGACAGACCAGAACCTTGTGGTATAAAAGCGAAGATGTCTTCGGCAGTGTTCAGGATGAAAGTCTCACATCCCTCAGCGGCTATGTCGTGGTGTTCTATCACAGGATCAAAAGCTATAATAACAGTCGTCAGCAGCTGTCTACGTAATAATGCTAGTGCCACACACTTTGCGAAGGTATCTCTTCATCATCGGGAAAAAGCAGATTCCACAATTGCCCCCAAGTTTGAATTTTGCAGCCTGCAGCACGACTTTTAAGAGACTCATCTTTGAGACTGTCCACGCCATCTTCGGGATCTCTTGGTTCGGAATTAGGATTCAACTGTCGGTTGCGAAGACAAACTTCAGGCGGGTGGTCTCCAGCCGTTCGCGGTTGCCCACAGTAAGTACACCACTGGTTCCCGTGCTCAGCGCTAATATGTCTCCTATGTGATTGTGCCGAGTCAGGCCTTGTCCAAAGATAGCAACGTGGAAGGAAACATCCAATGTTCGGAATCAGCTGTGAGAGTATTGCAAGAACGTTGGAACTTACTTTAATTCTGCCATTTGCTTGTAGGGCTTATTGGCACAAGCATCGAAATCCCGGGCGTTGAATCTCCAAGGGTTGCGTTTTCTAAAGGGGCAGCTGAAACCCCCTGGACGCCCGATCTTTCGTCTCTTGCTGCGTCCTCTTCTAGTTGGGCCCTGGTCTTGACCAGCATTCTTGTCCATCTCGTCGTGCTCATCGTCTCCGCCTCGCTCTTCAGCCGGTCGCTTCTTTGTTCCTGACTCTGATTGTTGAGCTCGATTTGATGTCTCATCAAATGCCGAGTTGCCGTCGCTAGCATCTCCCTCTTCGACGTCATAGCAGGAAAAGCCGTCATCGTCCCAGTCAATTGTCGAGAACGTTTCCTCTTGCTGCAGAATTTCGACGCACTGATCTTTAAACTTGGAGAACGCCTCGATGACACGAAGAGGGTGACTGAGTCGGTTAAGACACACCCCAAGAGAACGGGATAAAGCAATGTTGGCAGCACTCTCTAAATCAAAATCAGAGCGACAGATATCAGAACCAGAGTCGGACTCTCGAGCACTATTCGGTGACTCAGCCGCGCTGTAGATACCAGTCGGAGTACTAGCTCCGCCAGAGGGGAGCTGGGATTCTGGTAGGCGGGAATCTCGAGAAAGAATCGGCAAATCTGCGAACTTGCCTGAGGGCAATGCGTTCACATGCTCCCCGATACCAACAAGACCAAGCTCCATGGCTTGGCCCGGCGCAGAGGTCAGCCTTGTTGGGCTTTGAGGTCGAGATGTGGTTGGAGTCGTCGCCGATGGAGAATGCATGTGGAAGTCGAAGTGAGGAGCCGAAAAGGTAGCAGAATGGGCCTTGGAATATGAAGTCGAAATAGTCCCAACTGAATGGTTGTCGTCGACGTGAGTCTTTTGTCGGCGAAGTGCTAGCTTTGAAGGAACTTCGACTGATTTACCGCGATATATAGTATGTTCTTGTGGGCTCTTGGTTGAGGTGACACCCTCAATTGCTGCCTCGTTTTCGTCGTTCATTATTGCGAACCAATATGCAAACAGAAGGTAGAACAGTGAGCAGGGCCGTGGATTCACTCTTCAGTGAGGTAAGGAAGGAAGCTGCCGTACCCGTATCAAGTTGTCAAGGAAATCAGATGGGGGAAAGAAATGGGGAGCCCGAACCGATCGAAAGATCAGCTACCGCGACGACACGTGCCATCAAGATAATGGCTATGACAAGGGTGAGGTAGCAAGGGCTGAGATTGGGCCATTTTTCATTTTCAAAAGATTGAAATTCAGTTACAATTTGCTGCAACCCAACGGGGAAACCAGGACTTGCAGCCAAATGTGAGACAGGGCGTAGCACAGCGGTAGCGCCGATGGTCTTATTGGCTAGCATAATCTCAGTACAGTCGACTTGGTATGAACACATCTGATTGGGTTGGAGTCAACCAATGAACCCGGTTGCCTGAATCTCCCAGCCTGGCAAGGCGTTTTCGGTGAATAGCTGGGCACGGTGGTTGCCTGCAAGGCACTTGGTGAGAAACCCGGCTGAAAATTCAGATGAATCTCAACATTCGTTCAATCCACAGGAATGCTTCTTGGGTCACCACCCTGGAGTACTTGGAGCCGCATGAAGTTTGCTCGCTGATGAGGCTGATACGTACTCATTTACACTGTTATCACGGACCAGGGGTGCCTGTAGACTTGCTGCAAGGACGCATGAGAGCCCGATTGGTTGGTCAGTTGTGTTCAGTCAGTTTGAATCTCACGAAATCGAAATCCAGTCGAAGACTATGTATGAACTTTTTCAATTGACTGTCAGTTGAAATTCATTAAATTGAGAGATAACATCTCAGGCGTTTGATTCTGAAAACCATGCTGCTGATCAGGACAAGCTTCTTGCGATGTTTCCAAGTATTTATATTGCGTCTAAAGTCATGGCTATTTCTCTCCAGATGCAATTTGAGTTTCCCCATAGTTATCGGGAGCTACTCAATCACCGACCACAGATCCTCAAGTTACGACCAGAGGGGGTATTGCGACTTGCTTCAACAGCTACAATCATGCCTTGCTCTTCAGTCTACGAGAGCCAGTATGTTTGCGCCCCGTTGTGTGAATGGTTTTGTTCTATGATTCTTCCGACTAATCTGAGATTTACAGTAAAACCCCTAGCAAGACACACAGTCACCTTGTGGCAAGGCATCTCAACGACAGGAATAATGTTCAAGACCGCCTCATCTTAAGAAGCAATGGAGAGATTACTGGCGTTGTACTGTCCCGTCAGACGTTCAAAGTTATTACCCAGGTCGATGTGCAGGTACGCAGAGGTGGGGAGCTAGTCGACAATGATTCGTTTAGAAAAGGCCTATGAGTTTTTCCAATTCAGACAAATTAAGAAATCATCCACATTTTGCAAAGCTATGACGAGGAAACCCCGATCATGCGTTTTCTTGATTCAAGAGACGACATTGAGAAAGTGAGGCATAGATTTCACGAAAATTGTTGAGATGAGCCACCACACTCGTTGCTTGAAGTCAATTGTATTTACAGTTGGGATATCTTTCGGCAAATGCCTTCGATTCCATACCTAGCGATGACCTAACTCATGTACGTGATCGATGTGATGGCAAATTCACGAAATTCAGCTATGCCTGTAAACTCTTGTAGTAGCATACGTCAACAACGACAACGACAACAACAACAACGCATAAACCTGATGGAATACAAGCTGTCTCTAAAGGCTATGCTACGAAGTCCAAAATCATCATGTAGAACATTGTGCCTCCTCCATTCCTTCCATTCCTTCCATTCCTTCTTACATAAACCATGCTTTACTATAGTAGCCGTTCGCTCCCATACATTATCGTTTCCGGATCCCATAATTTGTTTACCTTTTCGTTGTCGTCATGATCCCCAGCATATTAGTTTCACCAGCGCATTCATTCTTGGAGCGACGTTGCAGCGGTGTCAACTGGAATTAGGACTGAGTCTGCTGCTCAGGCATACCTTTTGCTATTCACCAGTGCATCCACACTATTGCAGCTATCTTCAGTCGGTGTCTTTCGAAGCTTATCTCCCTTTCTTGATCTTTAAGAGCGTCTCTTTAGATCTTTCAGCCTCTTTTAAAGTGATGATGCATTCTGGCGAGGGAGACATTATCAATACTACACGTAGCGTTAGATGGAGATGTCACACGATAAATTCATCGGACCTTGAATATACGGTCTTTGCTTCACGTAGACTTTGATAAGAAGAATGACAATAACTTGAGTTAAATCAACTTCTGCGAAACCTGTTGATGCAAAGATGTAATATCTCTCACAATCTCGTACTCTTAGTGGGCTTGAGGATTTGGCTTTGAGTTGCCGGGTGCCTGAAAGCTCTTCAAGAAATAACAAAAGTCTGTCTCGCTCATCTTACTCAACTAAGGCATCACTCAGCAACTCCAAAAGTGGCTATTTTTGGCTTGGTCCTAGATTGTGTGAAAAGCACTTGGACAGTTCAGTTGACGTGCCGCCACTTGAGATCTCTACACCTATCTTCCTGAATAAGGAATCCAAATGTCGCCCTTGAACACTTCCAACAAGAAATCTTGGAAAGATGCTGGCTGGAAGTCGGGGTAGAGATCAGCGGCTAGAAGATAGCCTAGGCGACTGACTCCGTCTGGACTGTTGTCTCCATCTATAAATGATGAATAATAGTACTCCAAACAGAACTTTCCAATTGCCGCAAGGGCATTTTGAGGGCTCCCTTGTAGCTGTGCATCAAAATCTGCGATCATCGACTGCAATTCCTGCGCGGAAATCTTGGCGAGAATGAGGTAGTTAGTGAGAGTTTATCAAAGCGCAAGAGATTGCCTCGTGGAGCCGCCTTACATCTTTCTTCATGACTTTCTCCTTGGAAAGCTCTTCGGCTATGGCGAACATCTCGTTGAAAGACATCGTTGCTGAGGAGGCCATGACCTTTTGGTTGATGGTTCTTGGGTCCACAATGATGCGAGGAATGAGTTTTCCAATATCCGCACAATCCACAACGTGTGTCGGCATGTTTCCGTCGCCGGGAACTAGATTTCGTAGAAACTCAGGCAACACAACGGTATAGTCAGTTCGCCCAGAAGCCAATTGAGGGATAAACCCGTGGTACCACCAGCCGACGTCGATGATTGTGAACGGTAGGTCGATGGCTCTCAGTTCATCGTAAACCAACTCCTTCTGCAATTGGACGTCAGAAACCGGTATAATAAATATCGTAAAGCCCACCAATCCGTGAGATTCTGACATACCGTCTTCTGGACGGAAGACTTGGCGGTTGGCGAGACAGCCATCGCGAATGCGCTGGGAATAAAGCGTTGGACGCCCGCTAGTTTGGCTGCTCTAGCCAGTGTTATTTGAGACGCTATGCCGGCAGGATGGACCGAGGCTACTACAATTTCAAATCCTCTCAAGGTGTTGGCGATCTCGATCTCTGGCTTGTCAAGGTCGACGACAATGGCGTTGACTCCTCTTTTTTTCAGCTCCTCGTACGCTGGCTTTGAGATTGACGAGGGCCGGGCCATGGCGGTGACTTCCTTACAGACTTATCGGTCACAAGTTCTATGGGAATATGCGCTTGAGAAAACAATGGAAACCGAGACTTGTGAACTCACAAAAGACGGAGATGTTGACTTGAGCAAGCCATTGACAATAATACCCCCAGACTCCCCAACAGCTCCGAACACTGCTACTTTGTGAGTCTTGGAATACATCGGAGCGTTGGTGAACGTCTGAGAACAATGTCAAGATATCATAAAAGTCGATCTCAGGCTAGGGCTTTTCCTTAAGTACTCTGGCTCTCCTTCAGCATTGTACGTCTTTAGTTGTGGTGTCGGGTATTAGGGGATCGGAACAACGGCCCCACTCCCATGGCGCGGGCCCCCGGGTATCGGAACAACTCTCTGGTTGCGGAGTTTGACTCCAATATCCGCTTGAACTCCGTCATCTCCAGAAATCACTCATGATGTGTTTACGAGTTGAACCACGGAACAAAAAGACAACTTCCTGTTCCTTAGCACTGCGTCGGCACATTCTGGTCAATCATATCCGTCGGAACAAGCAAGACGACCCTACCCCATCATGACTCAGAGGTCTAGATGGGCTTGCACGCCGTGCCGAAAGCGGAAGGTAGGAGAGTAATCCCTTAGCAAGGGAACTTCTTGATAGCTAATCCGACCTCATCTGTTAGATCAAGTGCGATGCAGCTGTGCCACGATGTTCACAATGCTTGGCTAAAACTTTTGAATGCGATTATGCATACACAAAACAACGAGCACCCACAAGCCGGAAGTATGCTAGGGCGAGACTGATGGAGAATCAACTATAGACGCTGACATTTGCCCCCACGTAGATCTCGCCATGATCTCATACGGTCATTAGAGCGAGTCGAGAACAAATTGGAAAGCTTTCTCTCGGTCGCTACCTTGGCTACGACACCGTCATACCGTCATACAAATAGTCCTTCAAGGTTTCTGTGGCCTTGTACAACTTTTGGCCTTGAAGCTTCTTGTCCAGATGTTATTTATCAACTCGTCCGACGAGGCACGGGCGTGATGCTCGATCAATCGCAGTCGATCATTGACTTTACGTATCAAGGTAATTTCTCAACTGTGTATTTCATGGCTCTTTCGTCAGCAAGCTCACAAGAAGCGAAGGTTCTTGTCAGATCTTCTCATTGCTGAACACGAAATGCGTCGATCTTATTTTGGGTGACCACAGCCTCAGCACTGCAATCATAGAGTCATTGAAGCAAGTTGACGAGCCGCGCTTCACGATCTCGCTGTCACAGACAGCTGTTCCGCGTAATCTAAGACAGGCTTGCCTTGAAAGCAAGTGTCTATCAGAGCCTCGCCCGAAGTCACTCTTTCGGATTTACATGAAGCTAATATAAGAGATCGCAGGTTTCGTTTCAGAGTCAACTAACGCATGTGGCATGTTCCAGTCGAGCGAAATTATTGCAATCTTTCGCGAATATGATCACAGACGAACCTCACCTTCGCCAAA